AAAGTAATCATATATATTTAAAAAAAAAACAAAACAGCAACAGACCTAGACACTTGCACTAAAAACAGTTAAGAGTAAAAAGAAATGTTTGAACTTTTAAAATTAAAAAAAATTTTTATACTGACAGAATAAAATTGTTTTGGTCTGAATCCTAGAGAAATAAAATCATAATATTAAGAGGGAAAAGCATAGCAGGAGCCCCAGGCAGTTGTACTTGACGCCCTACCCTCCACCTAAGTCTCAGCTTCACTGGACAGAAGGTAGTTGCTTATCTGCTGCGTCCTATGTGTGAAATCTTCCCTCAAGCCTACGCCAAAATATTTGTAAATTCGCTCCTTATGCAACAAGCTTATGCTTGTTTTCAAAAAATTAGTGTAATTCAGCTCCTTAGTGCATTAATTTGAATGATTTCCACTTCAGACTCCCTCCCGACGTGACCCGATGATGAAGAGGGGCCCGCATGATAACCCTCTCAGGAGTGGAGCTGTATGTGAGTAGGTGGGCTTGCGGCTATCCTTTTCTTTCGATGTGTATAAAATGTCTATGTTTCTGGAGCTATTATTATAAAATAACATTCCATATTATATATATAAGCATATATATATTACAAAATAAAACCCATTATAAAATGGGGTACAGATAAATGTATTATATATATAATATCTACAAGTCACATGAGTAATTATACAGGAGTATATATGAATTATATAAATATACCCTTATAGTATAATACTTAAGTAATACATGATGATGCTGTTGTAGAAAACCATTACTACTATATAATGATATTGCTGTATCAACATATGACCATACCAATCAAGAACTAGTATCACTTAATAATAAATATTAATCTGTAATTGACACAATAAAGAACACTCTACTGGCTCTAGTATATGGCAATTATATACTACATAAGACTATAATAATAGTATCATGGATAATACTTATATTAATTGTCTGTGAATTATATAAATATATTTTGTATTAGCTACAAGAATTAGGTCACACTGATATATATGTGTGTATATATATATATATATAGTACTCATCTGTTACTGAAAATACTTAAAAAAATAGACTTCTGATATTCTGCATATTCCTTGTATATACGTTCAACATATCAAATATATGTTCTGTCTTAGGTAAAGATATACGCATCTATTCTATGAATTAATGTACTTCATCCAGTATATAATTGATATGCATACTTACTCCATTCGATGTATTTCTATCTTACATATTGGTATTAGATATAAATATGTAGGTAGGTTTGTATATAGATAACTATTACCTATAAAGATAGTGCGTATACTATATATATGCTCTGTAATTCTGGTTACATTTCTATTTACACTATATTTAAAAATTTATATAAATACGAGTATTCTATGTCTAATTCAGTGACATCTAAAAGTATATATACGTACAGTTTATACAAACATATATGTGTATTTTATACAAGGGATACTCTACTATACTGATTTTTCCATTCCTTTAGGAAATCTCATTCCCTCTGGAAATGGGCAATTTCCCTAGCCTGGGCTTTCTTTCTCCCATTTCCCCCCCCACCCCCACCGAGACCCAGAAGTTCAACACTTATTTCCCAAAACTAGCAAAGGCAACAAGACCCGGGAAGGTGAGAAGGTCTAGGACAGAGGTGTCCAAGTCCTGAAGCCTGTTGTAGAACCGCTCCCAGCCAAATGGTTTTTTTCTGGTTTACTGACCTGTACTCTGGCTTCAGGCACGTTCATGAATCTTGCAAGCTCCTGGCTGAGGGGAGAAAATCCCAAGTACTCAGGATTGGGAGTTGGGGGTGAGTTAAAATAGAGGATTTTTCCTTCCTCTTCCTAAAATTTTTCCTCAGGGAGGCGTCAGTGACATCTGATGGACCAATCTCTACATTAGAAAAAGTCACACCATTTCGGGATTTACAGTGAGATTCAGGTGACCAAGAATGGAAGGAAAGCCAGGGCTCCCGGTTGAAGGAGGCAAAGTCCCCAAGAGCACGGGAAATTCTAATTCAGTTTCTTCTGGTGTTACCAATTACAAAATGAAGAGGATCTCTCTCTACAGACTTTCGATCTTTGCTCTTACCCATTTTATGGATTAATTTAGAGCCCTCTCATAAGGGGCTGTCCCTTCATCTCTCTCTTTCTCTCTCTCTATCCCCGACCACCCCTCCCATTTCTCTCTCTCTCTCTCTCTCTCTCTCTCTCTCAAGTTCGAGTACATTCCCACTGGGTGCTAAGGGATGGCACCAACTGCTGTTCATTCCTTGGTGGTGTTATTTTTTCAAGTTTTGGTCACACTGACGTCCCCCGTCCTCCCCCCGCACCCCCCCCCCACACGGGCGGACGCCACGCCCCCACCACTCTTCTGGACCCTCTAGATTGAACTTTCCCGCAAGCAACATTTTTTTCCCCGCAAGCAACATTTAATTGTACTTTTTTTAACTTCAGATTTTCAGATTTTCATTTTAAATAATCTCTACGACCGGCATGGGGCTGGAATTTGAGACCCCAAAGTCAAGAGTTGCAGGCTCAACCGACTGAGCCAGCCTTTTCTTTTGTTTTTCTTTCGTTTTGCTTTAACTTTTAAGGTTTTTCAAGACCTCTAGCAAAATCTAAGGGAAGGCAGAACATTCAGGAATCCAGATAGTTTCCGACTGTAGTCTTAAAAATGTAAAAATGGGTGCAGGGGCCTCACGGTGGGTGTAGAGATTCCTTAAAATGAACAATTTGTACAAAAGTGATGACGAGCAGGTTTCTGACGACGTTAAAGAGAGGTAGGCTCGTAAGCCCTTCGCTCCCGCGTGTCAGACCTGCGGCCCTCGTCCCCGCCAGCCTGCTTCCAGCAGGACCTTCCTCTACTAAGGGCGGCGGACACTTTGCGGGCCCGGACGCGTTCAAATGGGCGTGAACGTCCGCCTTCAGCCCCCGCCCCCGCCCGCGTGCCCGGCAGCCTGGAGGCCGCTGGCCTTTCCGTCCGCGGCGAGGACCCACACGCTGAGAGTCCGCCCGCGCCCCCCCCCGGGCCGCCCCGCCCCCCTGGCCGCCCGCGCCCCCCCCCCCGGGGCCCGCGCCTCCCGGGGCCCGCGCCCAGGGCCTCAGTCCGCTTACCGCATCAGCGCGTTGGGATACTGGGTGCGCTGGAACAAGCTCTCCAGCTCGCGCAGCTGCAGCCGGCTGAACGGGACGCTATGGGCCGCCCGCTGCCCGGCCGCCGGTGCCCGGCCTGGGGCAGCGGCCTGGGGCGGCGGGCCCTCCGGCAGAGGCGGCCCCTCCGGCAGCGGCGGCCCCTCGGCCCCCTGTGGCCCCTCCGGCTCGGGCTGGCCCTCCTGCCCCTCCTGCTTCTCCGGCTCCGGCTGCCCTGGCGCAGGCGGTGGAAATTCTGCGGCCTCGCGGCCGTCCGCCGGCTTGTCGACGCCGTCGCCATCACTGTCGCCGACGCCATCGCTGTCGCCGACGCCATCGCTGTCGCTGACGCCATCGCTGTCCGCCTCCTCCTGGACTTCAGCGGCTCCAGGGCCCCGCTCAGGTGCGAAGTCGGCCCCCGCTTCCGCCGCCGCTCCCTCTCCGGCGTCTCCGGGAGCCTCGGGGTCTCCGGGCTCTCCGGTTAGTGACATCGCCTCAGGCTGGGTTTCTGCAAAGGACGAGATCCACACAGAAAGATCAGGGCGTCGGAGCCCGGGGCTGTGGGAAGGAGGGGTTGAGGGACAGCCTCTGCGGGGTGACCGGACCGCTCCCCTCGCCCGGGGACCTTGGTCTCTGGGGCTCGACGCCGGCGCCCGTCCCAATGGGCACGGACCTTGCGGCACTTCCCGCTCCTCGTCGACGCCCAGGCTGAGGAAGCCGGTGCCCTCGTCCTGGTCTGGGCCCGGAGGCTCCATATCCCTGTTGCCGTTTGGCACAGATTCCCCGTCAGACCCCGCGGGATCCATGGGGGACGCAGAGAGCGGTGGCCTGCCAACGGGCTTCCGCCAAACGGTCCTGGCGTTGTCAGGTTCCGGGAAGTCTGAGTAGCCGCCCTCCCTATATATACCCCCCACCCCCAGCTGCGGGAGGGGGGGCTCGCCGAGGTGCGCATGCGGCTCGGGCTCGGGCCCCAAGCCTGCCTGTGCACTTGCGAGGGTACTCCCGGAGGGAGCACTTGGCCTAGGGCATCCGAGCCGTCGCGGCCTAGCTAGAGAGGCTGAGTCTTCCAGTCGGCGCTGGGCTCACACGCCCCAGACTGGGGGCCTGTGCCCCCCAGGAAAAGTCGCCGCGCTGGATCGTGCCAGCCCGTGTGGGCAGGGGAAGACGCAGAGCCCACCCTAGCTCTGGAGACCCCGCCGAGGGCTTGGGAGAAGGTCCCTGGCCAGCCCTGCGAATCCAGCAGCCGCCACTAGGCAGGGAATAGTCATCCGAGGACTGTGATGGGCTCTGAGGTGGCACCGTCTGAGGCTTTTCGGGGAGGCGACCCAAGTCAGAGCCCGCCACACCCCCGGGTCCTCGGGAACGGGAGCTGGTGCTGGGGTCTTCTGAGCGTGTCTGGTGCCCAGATGCACCGTGCAGATGAAACCACGCTTGCCCCTTCACAGGGGCCTGGGCCTCCGGGATTTTAGTCCCGAAGCCACACTTCAGGTCGGGGCTGCGAACCTGCACGGGGCTTAGCGCCTTCCAAGTCGGCTCAAACTGGACAGCCCTCCCACGGGTTGGGGTTTTGTTCAGTTTTCCTCGTTCAAACGTTGCTCTTCTCATCGCCACCATGGATGCCAAAACCCCTTCGGGCACAGCGTCTACACCTCCGCCTCCAGACTCTCTCTACAAGCATGCATGTTCCTTATGGTGGGACCCTTTGGATCTGGGTCATTACCCACTTTCTGGCCTTTGTCCCCCCCCCCCCCCCCCCCTCCCCTGGGTTTTCCAAGAAATATCTTCCTGAGCCCTTGCTGAGGAATAGATGAATTTTATTTCTTGCTTGTTGTTTTTCTTTTCCGTTCTTGTTTTTGTTTCTTCTAGCGAGGATACATCCTTATTGGTTGGAGAGTTGAGTTGAGCAAGTTTTTGGTTTCTCCAGGTGAGTCCAATAAAGGGACAGGGCCCAGAGGTTTGGGGGATGGAAGGAATCGATGATAGTGACTATACAGTTTGTCCCAATTCAGTAAATGCCAGGTGTCCTGCATTCTTTCAGAAGTGAATTTTACATCCAAAGAAGAAAACCCTAAGCATATACTGAGCTCAGCCTGATGGTAGGCATGATTTTTTTTTTTTTTTCCAAATGAAAGAGAGCAGGCCCGATTGAGGGCTCTGTGGTTTTCCCTTCTGGAACTGTTTTATAGATGCTCCAACACCTGTTACTATCCTAACTATTGGAAATAGCTCCTAGGCCCGGGTCCTGTGCTGGACAATGTCCCTGAAGGACCCCGCGATCACCGCACAGCCGAGCTCACCACTCTAGTTGAAATCCGAAGCTACAGCATTCCCACGGGCTCCCGAGGGCATCGTGGGCCCAAGGTACCTCAGCCACCGCACCTGAGCGGGGAGAAGTGCCCCTGCCTCGTGGTCCTGGAGGATGGCTCAGACACCCACCGCAGGTTTGGGGACCAGTCCCTTTTCACAGGGGTGGTAAGGGATGGAGACTGCACTACCCCCTCCTGACTCGAACCAAATGTCTCCTCCTGGGCTTTGGTCTTGTTGAGTGCCGCCGGCCCCCGACCGGCACCCCCTGGCCAGGTAGCCCGGGCACAATTTTGACCCGAGGCTACTTATTGTGTGAGAGACCTCAAGGGCTTCCGTCCTATGCCTGTTGGCCTCCCTGCGGTCTCCGCGTGCCCTTTCCTGCCTCCGTCTCCGCGGAGCGGTCCTGTCTGCTGCCCTTCAGTCTCTCGTGGGACCCTCGGCCTCTCTCGCCCTACCTGGGCATCAGGTGTGCTAGCATTTACTTACACCGTTTCCTTCCATCACTTCACCCTTGGCACACCTTAGGAAGCAAATGAAACCTCGTCCTTAGCAAAAATAGCCCCGAGTCACGGTTCCTTGGGCCCCGCTCATCGGAGGGGGGCTCTGGAGCCAGAGGGATGCCGGCGGCCTCCGGCTCGCTCATCCCTTGCGAGCTGGCGGGGCTGCGGATCTGCTTGGTCTCACTCTGCCCTGGTTTCCTCGTCTGTAAGAGGAGAGCAACGACCTCGGCAGCGTGCTGCCGGAGTGACTGAGATGACACACAGGAACTGTGGCTGATGGCCCTGCCCTGCCCTCCCCCATCTGGACAGCAGCCCATCTTGTGTTCCTTTACTCACAGGCGCCATGAGAGCAGAGAGCCGCTGGTTCGTCGCCGGCGGTCGGCAACGAGGACAGATCGTGATCTTGTGACCTAAGGTCTCTAGCCTTACCTGTCCGTGGGGCTCTGTTTCGGTTTCTTGTTTTCTTGTTTTATTTTTCTTAAAGAATCTGTCTACCCAGTGTGGGGCTGGGACCCCTGACTCCAAGATCAAGAGCCACGGGCTCCCCCACCTGAGCCAGCCAGGCTTCCCCCACCGTGTCCCTTGGTACCTACACGGGCTTCAGGCAGTAGACCTGTGTTGGCCGCTGTGTTTCCAGGGCCCTCTGCCAGGCAGTGCGGGGAAGGAGTCCGGTCCAGACCCAGCCGTCCTGGCGCCCTGGTTCTCCCAGCCCACGGGAGAGACAGAAGCTGGAAGTGATGGAGTCCCAGCAGCACTAACGCGCTCTGCGACCCAGGTAAATCAGCTGACCTGTCTGGGCCTCCCAGGCCCCCTCTGCGAGATGGGGATCACGATGGCCCCTGCTCTCCCGAGGGGAGCTGTGGCTCTTACTCGAGGTGATGCAAGTAAGGCCTAGGGGGAGGGCTCGGTCCGCTGGAGCCCACGCTGGAGTGAAGGGGCGAGGCCTGAGTGGGGTCAGACTGGACGTGGGCCCTGCCCGTGGTCAAAGGAGCCGGACAGGGCGACTCAGCCCTGCTCCCGAGCGGAGCTTCGGACCTGTGCTTGCTCGTGCTGGTGACCTCCCGGGAGTGCTCCCTGTGCACTGCAGCCTGGCTCATGGGCCTTACCGCTGTCCCTTGAGGAGGGCTGGGCGCTGGGTGCCGGGGGTGGTAGAAGCATCGCGGGTTTTTCCTTTTCGCCTTAACCAAGGCAGTGCAGGCTGAGAGAGGTTCGGTGACTTTGGCAAGGTGACACAGCTTGGTGGAGGGGGCCCAGGAGCCAAACCTCTGCAGCGACTGGTCCTAGCAGCCCCTGGTCCAAGCCGATTTGGCTTCTGGCGAGTCGTGGGGCTTCCCTTCCACCTCAGAGGCCGTCAGAGTCCGGTCCGTGGCAAGCAGGCTGTGCCTTGAGCTTCGGGACAAGGGGGTAGTGTGAGCAGCCCCAGCAGGGAGGAGAGGAGACGTCCGAACTTGTCTCGGGGCACCCGGACACGGCCGGAGGGCTCTGGAGTGTGAGCTGGAGAGGAAGCTAGGGAGAAGTCTGCAGGGAACTCTGTATTGAGGGGCCAAAAGTTTGCAACGTCAGGTGGGGCCCGAGTTCGAGGAGGGCGTTGGAATGTGTACCTTTGGGATGATGGAAGCTGACAGTGGGTGGTCATGGGGGCGCCCTGATGAAAGCGCGGTTGTAGGATGAGTTTCCGGGGCGGGGGGAGCCTCCGCTGGCCCCGGGTTCCGTTCATTGTAGTTAGTGGGGGTGGGGATCAAGGTCCGGAGCCAGAGCCCTTACTTGGAGGCCACCGGCGTCCACCAGGTACGTCGGGAGTTCCCTGGAATTGGAGTGGAAAATTCCGTGTGTGGTGGCATTGCAGTAATGTGTACCTTTCACCAGCTAGAGGGGGGACAGTGCCCCTAACCACCCCTCCCACCTCAGGAAACATCAGAGGAAAGACCAGGGACTTGAGTAGAGTAAGCGGCTGTGGACTTGGGGCACACGCTTCTGGTTTCAGGGCACAGCCTCGTTCGTCTTCTTTCCGGCTCTCTCTCTGCTCACTGCATGGCAGGGGCAAGGCTGACTGTCCCTGTGCCTCCGTTTCCCCAATGGGAAATAGGGCAACGATCCCTGTCACTACCACTGCCACTAGAATAATGACAGTCCTCCCACGGACTTCTTATGAAGTCAGAATGAAGTATGGAAAGATGGCCGCCTTTTCTCTCTCCTTCCTTCTATCCTTCCTTCTCTCCTTTCACTCTCCTTTCCTCTCTCCCTCCCTCCTTTCCTCATTCTCTCCCTTTCTCTCCTCTTCTCTTTCCTTCCTCATCTTCTCCTCTCTTCTCCCTCCCTCCCTCCCTCCCTCTCTCCCTTCTTTCCTTTTATTCTCCTTTTCTCTATCCATTCTTCTCTTCTCTTTCCTTTATTCTCCTCTCCTCTATCCATTCTTCTCTTCTAGCTGTGATATTTTTTTTAAGATTTTTTAAAAAATTATTTGACAGAGAGAGCTGGGGCAGGCGGTCAAGCAGTGGGGAGCCGGATAGGGAAAAGCAGGGTTCCTGTGGAGCAGAGAGCCTGATGACAATGTGGTGCTTGATCCCAGGACCGTGGAATCATGACTTGAACTGAAGGCAGTTGCTTAACCGACTGAGCCACCCAGGCGCCCCATGTCTGTGAAAATTAAAGGAAACTCAAGGCTGGGGCACCCGGTAGGCTCAGTCAGCAGAGCCTGTGACTCTTGATCTCGGTGTTGTGAGTTTGAGCCCCCTGTTGGGTGTAAAGGTTACTTAAAAAAATGTTTTTTAAATCTTTTTAAAAAATGAAAGAAACTCAAAACAATATGTCTTTTCATTTCTACAACTTTATGTGTGTGGCATTTCCACAAAAGCCATTTCACCGACATAACCACAGCCTCATCCAAGCACCTAAAGAGCAACAATAATCTGTCGAAATCAGGCCCAGGCAGCTACATCTTGACTTCCCTAATTGCCTCAACAATAACTTTTTTTATAGTTGTTAATTTTAGAACTTAAGGGGCACCCGGTGGCCCAGTTGTTGAAGCGTCTGCCTTCAGCTCAGGTCATGATCTTGGGGTCCTGGGACTGAGCCCTCTCTGGCTACACGCTCAGTGGAGAGTCTGTCTCTCCCTCCCCCTTCTGCCCCTCGCCCTGCTTGTGTGCATGAATAAATGAAATCTTAGCAATAAATAATAAATAACGTGTGAGAGTTCTGTATTTCCGTAATACGGTGTGTTCATACACCGCTTATCATTCATGTAGGGAAAGGGGCATTGTGTTTTCTTTGAAACATAGCAGCTTAATCCACCTTTTTTTTTTAATCCACTTTTTTAAAAACAAGTTTTCCTTTTCTTTCTTCATTGTATTTTATGCATCTTATATACATTGCCTTAAATCATAAGGTAGAGAATAAATGGATGAATGAATGAATAACAGAAAAGGTAGTTAAGGCACAGAAAAGCGAATCCTTCTAAGTGGTTCAGGTACAAGAAGAAATGAGAAATACCTGGCTTGTACCTAGTGATTTAATCTGCTTAATTTGAATCCAGAAATATTGCATAAAGATACATTAATGTGAATCCTTAATTCAGCAGAATGTCCACGGTATGGGGTTATTTTGGCTAATGAATCTTATGATGGGGACACCTGGGTGGCTCAGTCATTTAAGCGTCTGCCTTCGGCTCAGGTCATGATCTCAGGTCCTGGGATGGAGCCCACATTGAGCTCCCTGCTCAGCGGCTAGCCTGCTTCTTCCCCTTCCTCTGCCTGCTGCTCTGCCTACTTGTGCTCTCTCTATCTCTCTCAAGTAAACAAATTTTTAAAAAATGTAATGATGAACTGAGAATGAACACACAACTTATGTTTTTTTTTTCTTTCCATCTTTTCCATTGACGAGAAATGTGAAAACATGCACAGTACGTTTTTCTCTCAAATTCAAAAATTTGTTGACGTGAATTGAATATTTAAGTCAATGAGTTTCATTATGGCCCCTTGTGAGTTGTGTGATCTTGGGCATGCTATTCAATCTCTGTCTGTGCTAGTTTCTTCGTCTGCAGAAGAGGTTCAGGGTGATTCGTGCATGTTGCTTGGCGAGGTAGTGGTTCACAGTGAGCCCTCGGAAAGCTGTGGCTCTTATTACTGTCTATTCATGCTACATGTTAAACACTACCCAGCTGTGTTGGGGGTAACAAACAATGTGGAATACTCAATCTTGTGCAAAGGACCCTAGAATGCCAAATAAGTATTAAGAGTTATTCAAAATATCATTTGTCGGGGCATCTGGGGGGACTCAGTTGGTTGAGCAACCAACTCTTGGTTTCAGCTCAGGTGATGTTCTCAGGGTCTTCGGATCAAGCGCCATGTCAGGCTCTGCACTCAGTGGGGAGTCTGCTTGGAATTCTCTCTCTCTCTCCCCCCGCCCCTCCCCCTGCTTATACGCTGTCTTCCCCTCTCTCTCTCAAATAAATAAATCTTAAAAAAATGTATACACACACACACACACAC